TTTTCTACTGGTACCACCGGTAGATAGTTTCCAGTGTATTATGGTTTTCTTCCTTCTTAAGTATTAAACGTCCTTGGTAACCCAGAATCAACCGATGCGGTGCGTGGGGTGTTTTTTTCACTTCCTTGTATTATGAAACTTTTCCTAGGAACAAGTTTCTCTCCTCCCTGATAATTTTCTGATGACCATGTGACACAAATTATCTGTTCGGTACCCCAAATAAAAGCTGAACTTGCATGGAGGTCGCCAAAAGTCGGAGACCTTCGGGAATTCCATTCAATCCACCGCTGTCCAAGAAAGTCTTGGGCAGCCGGGCACAAAATGTAGACCGGCCTTTTTTTCAAAGGGTTGCTTTCAGATGTACCGGTATCAATTACAGTGTGCACGTGATTCGGTGGGGCATGCCGCCTTGGGAATAGATGGTTTTCCGATAATCGTAATTACCCATGGTTGAAAAGTTCTGTTAGGCAACTGGAAGTGAATTTTCTAAAAGAAAATGTTTCATGTCTAATCCAAGAGGCTTCTTCAGTTCTAACTGGTGGTGGGGAGTACAGCAAATATATACTCTCGGTGAGAAAGAATATAGCTACTACAGCTTTACCCTGTTAGGTGGGGCCTAGGGGTCAACTGTGACCCAAGTGTAAACAGTCGTTAAGAGTCTGATGGGTCGTTGTGGTCCCCATCAGAACGGTTTCAGTCACCTGCCTCTTTGTTGTGTGAAACTGAGGAGAATCTTTTTGGTATTGTTACTAGGAGTGCTTTGTATGCTTTGTATGCGCACCATCAGCCATGTTGTGTGGCAAAAGACGTGAATAGGTAGACGTAAACAATCGATAATGACAACAAGAATATTAAATCGCCATTGGGAGATCAGACGAAATTGTTGTATAGAGATTCACTAGACACAATTAGAAAGGCAAGGTACTTGGACAAGTTGAAAATAATCGATGGAAAAGACCCATTCAGAGTCAACAAAGCTGAGTGGAAACGGGCGGACATTGAAAGTTGGCCAGACAATGTATATAATACGGTATTTATTAACACCCAAATAATACAGTGTGTTAATGTAAAAATCACAGTGACATGTCTTTTATGAACATCATTAGAATAACAGTTTACATGAAAAATCATGTTTTACTATTGATTAGATTGTACCTTTCTCCCAAATCACAAAAAATATGTATTTTTTACATTCTTCATTAAATAAAAATAGTTTGATTGTACATGTACATAGACAATACTGATAATGATATGAACTGTGGTCAGCTGAGGCTTTACGTTTGCACTGTGTGCATTTCTCATGTATGCAAAGTACATTTTGATATACTTTAATTTTATTGATATTGAACATATGAATTAAATAAAAGTAGAATGTAATTACCTGAAATAAAGTGTTCAGAACAGTCTTGGTAATGCGTTTTGCTTGGATCTGGGTTGAAATTAGCATGGTTAAAGCCATAGCATCCTTCTTTGTGTCAAAATATCATCCGTCAGCTTCCCTCGGTAACAGATCGCTTAATGTCAAAATCTTCATCTTGCGATTTCCATTCCCAGATCGGTTGGTAGAAGCCCACGCAACACAAGTATTTACCATTAACGGTGTTCTTTTCTGTATTTAATATCTATCTATACGCTCTTTTGCCACACAAGATGGCGGACTACGGAACTATAGGTAGTAGCGCGACGCCATCGGAAAACTCTATCCTAGTAAAGCGATAGTGATACACTGTCATGTTTGCATCTGTTTAAATACCAACAACATTTTTTTGTCATTAACATTTTTACATGTACAATGTCTTTGTTTTTGTGATTTTTTTGTGAGTTTACCACAACAAAAGGTATAAAATATTTTGTTTGCCTCACTCAGTAATTTTGCTGGTGCAAGCAATTTTTGTTTGGTGAAGTAATTTTCTTTTTACCAAGAAATTTAATTAGACCCTGCTGTTACTTTGGTCGGAATATATCACTTCAGTATGACAGTGGAATTTGTGCATGTATTCTATAAGTCTAGTTTCAGGCAGACTAATACCATAATTTGCTTTTTGTACGTTTGTGTAAATGTATTTGGGACAAGGATGTCGGTATAACCTTGGTTGTTTTGTATCCTAAGTGAAATGACAAGCAATAATAAGAAAAAGAATAATGCGCCTGATTTGGAAGATAAATCTCTTCTTGGTATTGTTTTGAAAGCAGCCTCTTCTAAGAAATGCAATAAATGCAGTGATGAAACAGAAGTTCTTTTTTTTCTGGATGATGAATTGCTTGCCTCAAGTAGCTTCAATTCAGTAAGACTTTTCTCCCACTTCACTCGGTGAACTAATCATTGACAAAATCACAAGTCTAAGAGAGACAGGAAATTAAATCCAAAAATGTATTTATGTGTTTAGGAAAATGCTGGCAAGTATAAACACTAAAGATAAACACAACTACATTTGTGGTGCTTTTAGTCTTTTTCTCAGGACCACAAAGTCGCCACAGTGTATATCAATATCCAGCTTTTAAATACCACTTCCTCTATGGAAAACCTTATGTTTAAAGTTATTTTGTGCTTTTTAGAACCCAGCTTTTTCATTTTAACTTAATCCATACAAAGAAAATATTGACTCTGACCTCATTGTTTTAATGGTGTTTGTATGCAGGATTTATACAGAGAAGTATGTTGAAGCACTTTTGTGGAATATGATTATTCAATCACACTGACATGTGCTGTGAGGCCTGTTGGGTGTTATGACTGGGATCAGCTGCTGGTACAGTAGCATATACACACTTGCGCACACACATAGATAATCTAAAGTGCCTACAGGAACCCTGTCAGTGAGCGTGTTAGAGGGAGATAATGTTCAGTGTTTGCTTTAAAAGACTTTTTGTTCACTCAGGTCACTGTGCGTCTGCAGTCTGGAGTAAGCCTTCAGTGCAGAAATGTACACAGGTAGCCTGGGTTCACATCAGTGTAAGTGGTGTCAGTCTGAGCCTAGTGTGTGAGACAGCATTCCCCACTTCCAGCTCAGTCATGCCTTATGTCATTGACTGATGGGATTCCCTGGAGCCGTAGTGAGAAGTGTAGTCCAATGTTTGTTTTGGTTGCCCTCTGTTTTTACACCTGTGACTGAGTGCATATATGTGTATGTAAATTTGGGTGGGTGTATAATTTACATTTGGGTCTGCATCATCTGCATGGGCAATGATCCAAAAAATGGAGTTGTGAATTCTTAGAGGAATGACTGCTGCAGAATTTAACTCTACAGACCGAGAAGGACTCAGTAATGTAGTCTGCCATACCATCATGGTCTCTACATGATGTGTAGATGTGTATATGTGTGTCGTTATGTGGAGAGTTTTTTGATGCGCAGATGTAGCGGTGCCACTGCATGCGTGTGTAGAACAGTTCAGATGCTGGTTTCACCAGACCAGCTCGTAAACCACATCTGGGGAAAGAATTTAGATTCTTTCTCTACTGCCTTCCCCCTTTTTTTCTCTTGTGTGATTTCTCCCCTTCTTCTCAACTCTGGTTAAAAAAACAGTCAGCTTCTTTCATTTTTGATTCTGTCTTTGACTTCAGCCAGAGTTCAGGGAAAATAAGAGGGATTTATTATTTTTCCACAGAACACTTTAGTATCTATACAACTTGGTTTCAGATGTGTCACTTAGTAGTTTAACATGCTCTGTTAAGTACAATTATATGTAGCTAAAAGTAAGCCAAGTAAAATTATTACCACTGTGTAATTGAACAGCAGTCGCTGTCTCAGTTTAAAACCGTGGGAAGAGAATTGATTTATTGACTAGAGTAGAGTTTGTCCAACTCCTGACAGCCATAAATTCTGAGATGGTTTTTGCTGCAACACATTATCTGTCCCGCTTTCTGTCTGCACCCCACCAACAACAGCTTAACTAGGCTCACTGGAACCTTTCTGCTACTATGTTATTTCTTTTTTCTTCTTTTTCTCCATTTCACATCCATCTGTACTTTTATTATGCAATTTTTTAAATACAATTAAATTTCCAAAAAATGTCCAGGAAACAAAAAAAATATTTTCCAATGTTGTTATTTTCTTGTATTGATAAAGCATGCTTGACCTGTTATGGAGCTATCTGTTTAGCACCAGTATTCAGGAGGAAAATAATTAGAACCATGGTTCTGTAACTGCATCAAGTTCCAGGCCTAAAAAGTGAATAGTAGACTATTTTCCAGCACTCTGGACAGCGCATTGAGGCCCTAGTGTTGACTCACTAATCTGGGTTTAGTGTACACCAACATTTTTTTTAAAGTTTAATAGAGGTGAGGGGAGAGAAAAAGGATTAGCAGAGACTGTGTAGAGAAATGAATTAGAAGAAAAAAAGTAAGGTGAATATTTGTTGTGTGTCTACAGAAATTTTGTCTAGGCAGAGTACGAACTGAAACATTCCTTCCAATTTTGGTATGAAACAAATTCTGCTCCAAATATGTCTCGAAACTCTAAACGTCTGAGTCTCAATTGCAGAGAAGTTTGAAAATGCAGCTGGCACTTTTTTAATTTGAAGAAAAACACAGACTTTAAAACAACAACCATGTCTTTCTTCATGGGATTCCATCAGGTATATATCCAATGAGAACGGCAGAGGTGAATATAGACTGTTAAAACCTGTTTCGTTGGATGGTGCGCCAAAAGGAAGTCTTGAAAATGAAGATGAGCGTTTAGTCTGATTCTGAACATTTGCCACGTCTGTGTGGTTTGTTCTGGTCAATATTAATGTTTGACTCCAATTGTAGTCTTGAATAAAAAGAGTTTTTTGCTGATCCGTCTTCAGGAGATGGTCTTGGACAGTTCTCGGTGAAGCCTGGTGTCTATCTGGTGCCCACACGTTTCAGCTTATTTTTACCACAATTATTTCCTTAGCGTTCCATTTTGTATAGCAAAAACAGTCAATTCCATATAGAGTTGAGTGGTACCTGTTTTATTATCTGTAATGATCACCTTTTGTTGCCCATCTTTCTCTAATGGTATTATTTTCTTTTTCTGCAGACAGTCCCTGGCTTTGTTGCGTTCCTGTGGGACAACCAACCCAACCTCAGTAGCTGATTTATATCAACCAACCAGTTGGACAGACTACTGTTCTCTTGCATCCTTTTGGCTGGCTGCCACAGCTTCCCCCCATCCGGACTAGCTCTGGCTGGAGTGTGGATGGAGTCTAGGGATCTGGTTGGCACGGCCCGTCCCAAAGAGGTGGAGTTACAGGGGGGCAGGGTGGGGCCAAATGAGGAAGACCAGGAAGGAGCACAAGACATCGGTTTAGTGTGCAGTGATGATGTGATCATCGGCGGCCTCAGTGAAGGGGAGGGGCTTGAGGAGCAAGGGGAGGGGCTTCTGGAGGAACAGGAGTTCTCCATCAAGGAAGCAAGTTTCCAGGAAGGAAGTCTGAAGTTAAAGATCCAGACCACCAAACGCACCAAGAAGCCCCCCAAGAATCTTGAGAACTATATTTGCCCACCGGAGATCAGGATGACCATCCGGCCTTCTTTTGGAGAGGGCAAAACTGGGAGGCAGGGACGGTCAGGAAGGGGGGCAGGAGCAGGGCGGGCTCAAAAGGACGAAGAACGAGGCCTGACAAAAAAAAGGGTAATTCCATCAGTTCAGTTATTTTTTTCATTTTGATGTCTGACAATTGGTGTACTGTCTGTTCTGTCTAGGTTTGAGCTTGGACTTTGCACCACATGACTTTTTATCTCAGCATCTTTGTACCTCATTTACCTTTGTACCACTCTTACTGCCAGTAGCTCCTCTCCTTGCATGGTTACACAGAGTCAAAGTTTGCTGCGTAATTGAAACCAGTCATGGCCAGTTGAGAGCACACAGTGACACACACATACACATACACATACACAGGCACACGACACACACACACACTCTAACATAGGAACTGAGAATAGAGCTGACATAAGCAAGTGACAGCTGGTGTCGACTCTTTCCATTTGTGGTCATATACACAGACACTTTTCATGTTTTCCCTCTCCTCTGCTCTAATATCACCTCTCATGGGTAACGCCTCTCTATGCCCTCCCTCCAACACACCCTTTGCGCTAGTGTTTGGTGTGTGTGTGTGAGACACTGTGTACGTACAGGTCCTTGGGGGAATCGAGTGTTTGCATTGTGTGTTGACCTACATGCTGGAGTGTGTCCCCGAAGCTGACAGGCTTCTTGATGTCAGTGAGCTGAACAGACCCAGCAGGAGTGAAAGCATCATGTTGTCAACATGATGCTGGGGGCTGTGTTTTGTCATGTTGAAAGCAGATTGAGTATTAAGGAGCATCACCATGACTGGATTTTACAGAGCTGTTTGTGCCTGCAGGAATGAAAAAAACATCAACTATGATACACCTGTCAACATCTACATATATTAATGCTATGGAAATATTTCACTCCTTTTTAAAAAAATCAATAGTTGTTGGGGTCACATGCTGCTAAATCTGCATAAGCATGGAACACTTATGCTTTAATGGCTGCAAAAATTTTAATTATAAACAATGCACTTTCAGTCTTTCAGTTCACAATTTGGTCTTTAAGGAGTGTGACTGGACTAATAAATGATTAAGAGAAATCTTTGCTGAGTATCATACACAAGTGTAAGATACATGAGTAATTACAAGTCTTTGCATGTTATAATTTTTTATCAGTTTTTAATACTTAATCTAAACTAGGAGAACTGAATTTTAGTTGTGCTATTACATAAATGTAGTTCTAACTTAAAAATACCAGTTTTTCAATTGTAAGACATCAAAGTATACATATATTCTATGGTGTTTTTCAATTGATGAGCTGTACTGTAATGGTGGTTTGTTCTATTTCCCATTCCATACTGTAATTGTTCTTTTCTTTTTTATAACTCATATTTCAGTTATACATATTTAGTCTGTAATGACTAATAGAAACCGTGACAAATAGAAAAGTTGTAATCAGTGGCCAACTCCAACATCTGGGAAGTGAGTCTAAAATAAAATGTATCTTTGTTATTATAGTATTTTCCTTAGCCCCAGCTTTGGCCCAATGTCTGGACGACCTCTCTGCCATAATTGTAAATCTAACTTTCTTCCTGAGTTACTGCCAAAAAGTACTTTGGATACATGACTATCATCATTGCACTCTGATGTTTAGGTATCCAGTCCTGATCCAGTTCCATCAATCCATTTGGAGGAAACTGCTACATGATGATTGACATGTTGTCATAGTGACGGGGGGAGCAAGCTGGTCTCCATTGAGGTTTAGGGAGATGGGAGTTGGGAGGAGGAGGAGTGAAGGATGTGTTAGTGTTGATTCAGATCAGTTTCAGCCATTCACCCTGTCCCTCAATCACACTACCCCATCCACCTCCCCGTCCTCCCTCCTCTCCTACAGTCTTTCCCTCCATCTCCCCATCACCTGCTACCCCAAGGGTGTAATACAGGCAGACTCACTGGAGAGGAACGGGTTAAAAAGAGAGCCTGAGCCACTTTCTGTCTACCTCGTTTGTGTGTGTGTGTATGTGTGTGCGCGCGTCATAAGGTTAAATACTCTCTTTGTGGTGTGTGTGAGGCTGTGTGTCAGGAGGGGATGAGAGGCGAGGAGGGGGAGCAGATGGACAGCCTCTCCACTCCTGCTTGTATTGTGTCCAAACCTACTCTTTTCCTTCTTTCTGTCTTAATCTTTTATCTGCCTCTCTTTTCTCTGCTTTTCCCCTTTAGCTCCCTTTTTATCCTCTCGTCTTCCTCCCTTCACTCCCTAATTTTTTTCCATCACTCCAGACCTTTTTTCCTCCTTCTCCCTCTTTTTACCCTCTGTTGTCTTGTAGCAGATGGCAGTGTGGGGCAGCAGCAGCAAGAGAGCAGAAGCCATAGTGTAAGCAAGAGATGGGGGAGAGGAGAAGGGGGTTGTGGAAAGAGAAGGAGGTGGAGAAAAGAGGTGGGGGTCAGGCATATGGAGAGCCTGGTTAAGGGGCCCCCTCAGAGGGAGTGTGTGTGCGTGTGGTAGTGTGTTGAATAGGGACAGAGGGGCAGGATACAATAGCTTCCCATTAAGACAGAGATTTGACTCTAATAGACAGAGAAGGGGAGAGACAGAAAGACAGACGGACAGACAAATAAATAAGCAAACACAGAATTCCTTTTTCTGGGAAAGAGCAGATAATATAAAACATTAAATAAATTGTGATTTATTTAATTTTTATTATCAGAAATGTAAAGATCTAAACCCACCCATAAGTATTAATAAGCAAAGGCAAAGGTTAAGCAAAGGTTTTCTATAGAGGCGGCCATGTTTTTTCATTAGTTCCAAGTAAACAATCTAAATATTTTATGTATTTACTAAACGCAACCATATGGTTTTCCTTCATGCTTAAACAGACATTACAGTATAAGGTCAAAATTATTAGCTTCACTACAGGATGTTGCTAAATATCACACGGCTTACCTCTGATAAAGCTTTGCTTTGCCAGGTACAGTTCAAGTTTTTGTGATGAATGTGAGAAACTGAGGTGCCAGTAAACATGGCATTTTTAGAACCAAATTTCATTAAACATATGAATGCGAAGAATTAACAATCTATTTTTTCTTTAAATAGTTATTGAAACTTTATAACAGTCAGTGAGGATATAATAATAATAATGAATAATAATGGAAACTCTGCAATTACTGTTTACTATAGGGCTGTAATGATTGTTTGATTAATCACTGACCTGCTGACTGCATAATAAACCAGCAATTTTAGATGATGTCAGCCAGTGAATTGTAAATATATGTGTACATATTGTGTTTATTTATGACAGGAAACATTTGAGGACACACTCATTATGTCATATTTCCAGTCCATGGTCACAAATGACTGGTGGATTAATTGAAATAGTAACTGTCTGATTAATTGTCCATAAAGCACTCTAACTGCTCTAGTTAACTGCAGACTCTACAGTGAACCAGAACAACTGAAGTCTCTTGATCCTGTCACCTCTGTAGCAGGCGTCTATAACCAGGGGGTCAGCGAGCAGACAGTGTCAGGGGACGGACCCACATACATGCATAAATGGGATATGATGGGCTTCCCTTCTCTGTCTGCAGCTGACATCACACACATGCTGAACGTCCTCTCACGCACAGCTCTATGTTTGAGCCATGCCGCGTCTGCTCATAAGATAAATGTGTATGTTTCAACCGATCGGATTCTGGCTCAACCATCGCGTTACTCCTGCAGACACACAAGCAACCCACACACACAGACAGTTACTAGTCCAATGCCTACAAATGGTGAAAGCGTGCATGAGCTAAAAAACATAATTTCTCTTTTCCCATCTCTCTCTCTCTCTCTCTCTCTCTCTCTCTGTCTATTTCTCTTTGACTCTCTCTGTCTTTTTTACACTCCTGTGGATTCCCGGCACACAAACACACCCACACAACTCATTTTGAGCAGTGATTGCAGTTAGAGAGAGTGTTTTCCTGGTTATCTGTCCAGTTCTTAGGACATGCCAAATGTGGCTCTTAATCCATTTCACTATCTGTGGAAAGAGATAAGCCATAGCTTTTTCCAGGAGCCCAGGCCAAGCTCTAAGTGTGTGTGTGTGTGTGTGTGTGTGTGTGTGTGTTTGTTTGTGTTGCTGTGTGAGCACATGTATTTGTATTAGTCCATGAGTGAAGCTATAGACACACACTTATCTTATCCCGACAGCCCCTCTGCTTGGTGGTCCCCCTGGCTGTGTGTTACGTGTGTGTGTGTATGTTGTAGCTTGATGGTCTCCCAGCAATGTTTGTGATTATTATGTTAGTCAAGTGCATTCAGGAGGAAATTAATGCTGCCAGAGTTGTCACATCGAGCGTATGGTTGATTGCATCCCATGCACATGTGTGTCTGCAGTGTGAAATGTGTAACCTTTTGATGTGGATTTTTTATATCTGGCTGCGATGACGGTTGGTGACCTGAGGGACTTGATGAGCTCATAAACTAGTGTAGAGTGTGTGAGTGTGTGCATTCGTGGGATTGTGTGAGTGCGAGTTAGATTGTGTATGAAGTAATCCTTGACTGATTTACGGATGTGCATGAACATGAAATGATCATCTTTTATACGCTCTGACTTAACTTTTCTACTAGACACTTTTCAGCTTTTGCTTTGGCGCATGTGTCTGTGTGTATGTTTAGTGTGCTCTTTCAGAGTAAGAGCTGGGAATGCTTTAAGGGGCGTTTCCCTGTGGTTGATGGGGGAAGGGACATGTGTATGCCTATATGTGTTCATGTGTATGTGGGAGCGTCTGTGTGTTCGTGTGTGTGTGTATGTGTGTGCATGGGCGCCTGCATGCTGGGGAGGGGTGAGTAATTTAGCACTGCTGAAACACCAGCTGTCCATCTGTGTCTGACCCCTATACACACCCTGTACACATTGGAAACACACACTGGCACCTCTACTGACACACACGTACACACACAAATCCTCACAAACACACACAACTCCTCTGATCATCTCTTAAGTGTATCTCAAACCTTAAGGAAGTCCAGACAAAACACAATCTGTTTTTAGCCTTCCTCTCATACTGCACACAAAGGTATACACAAACTCACACTCTCTCTCACACACACAGAGGTTTACAGAGCTGATCTTGAATGGA